CCATATAGGGTTCAGAAAGCCATTTTTGTTTGAGTTTGTGAACTCTGGCTTTCACTAGACGAATTACAGCCTCCTTCCACTTGCGCCGAACAAGTGCGTCATGCTCAGGATCCCAACGCCATTGTTGCTATATAAATTTTTTTATAAAAAATTAAATAAATAATAAAATCAAATTTAATTTTATATGTATTTATAAATATAAAAAACTTACCACAAAACTTAACCACCACGAATCTTTGGTAGGTTGTGGGATCGTACTCCAATTAAGATAAGCACCTTTAAAATTCTGTTTGATGAATTTTGATAAATTGGTGGTTATCTCAACATCAACACCAAACCTAAAAAATATTAATAAATTTTAATTAAATTTTTATATTTAAATAAAATATTTAAAATAACAATATTGAACTTTAAATTACCATTTTGTTCCTGGATTTTTTATCGGATCCAGTTTCGGTAACAAAATTCTTGCAGGATTATCTAATACCTCAGCCACGTTATCAATTGTAACCTGCGTTGGTGGTTGCGGTTGAGATTCGGCCATATCAATTGACGGAGATCTCTGATGTTGAGATCTTTCGCCTGATAACCGTGATCCCCTTCCGAAAGAACGACTCATCTGTAATTTATTTAAAATTTAAATTATTATAAATATAATAATTTATAATTTAAAAAATTTAAAAAATTTAAAAAAAAATTTACCTTTACCGAAGGCGCTTGAGGAGAGGAGGGAAGGCGTTTGTTTGTGGGATTGACGCAATTGCGTCACGCCGTGAGCATGACGCCATTCTTCGACGGATAACCATCTTTCTTTCGATTTTCCACTCAATCTCCCTGCAATTGTATATATCTTTTAATTAGAACCGCAAAATGGTTAATTAAATTTATATATACGTATATAAATTTAAAATTACCTATTTGGTTGAATATAGCCGGGATATCACAACCATCAACTTGATTAAATTGAAACATCATCTCATCTTCATCCCCATACCGAGAAGAACTCTTGGCTTTTGTCTTGATATGTGGCTCAAAATAAAAATTTGTGAAGTACGTAATTTCTTCGTTAACATACTGCTTCACGATTGCCCCTTCCGGTTTGTTCTTGTTTTTCACCTTTCTTTTCAGATGAAAAAACAATCTTTCAAACGGATACATCCATCGAAATTGCACTGGACCACCAAGTCTTGCTTCATCTGGTAAGTGTATAGCCAAATGCTCCATAACATCGAAAAACGAAGGCGGAAACACCTTTTCTAGTGCACACAAGATTAGCGGTATGTTTTCTTTCATACGCTGAACATCACCAACATTAAGATTTCTTGAACATATATCTCTGAAAAATGTGCTGATACCTGCACACATGTATAAAAAAATTATTAATTCATTTTTTTTATTTATATCAATATATATTAAAAAATAATAAAAACCATGGTATATATATATATGTACGTACCGCATAAAGGTTCGTAGACATTGCGCGGGACTAGTTCAGCAAGAGCAACTGGAAGAAGTCGTTGCATGAAGACATGACAATCATGACTCTTCATTCCATTTAACTTCAC